CGTGCCTATGTGGGAGGTAGAATGAGATTGAAAGTGGAAAGTGGCTCTTTCTAGGAGGAATATCTCCTAATAGAGATTAACTATAGAATAGGCTGCATCAGGAGAAATGCCTCCTTGAAGTCAAGCACTGTGCCAGGTGCTGGTAAACCCACAATGAATAGGACAGGTCCCCGCCCTCAATGAACTGCAGTCCAGCAGGAGAGCCACCCATCTCGAAAGTGTCCTAGAGGAAGCCGGATAAGGTAGTGGGACTCTGCCAGAGATGGGGCCCTCCAACCCTGAGATTTCCTGTGGATAAGGGCTTGGCCTAGGTAGAGCAAGGAAAATGGAAAAAAAACCTTTCATATACAAGAGAAATTTTTAAAGTGGAAATAACAAGTCCTGGACTTAGTGACTGCTTAGATGAAAGAAATGAAGGAGCACTCAAAAATTTTAAATTTTAATCCTAGGAAACTGGGAGAATGAACTAAATGGGTGTAAGAAAAGGGAAATGAGTTCAAGACATGGAAAGTCTAAGATGATGGCAGAATATCTAAGAAGATTCAATAGAGGCGCCTGGGTGGCTCAGTCGGTTAAGTGCCTTCGGCTCAGGTCATGATCTCAGGGTCCTGGGATCAAGCCCAGCATGGGGCTTCTTGCTCAGCGGGGAGTCTACTTCTCCCTCTCCCTCTGCCACTCCAAAGAACACTCGTGCATTCTTTCTCTCTCTCTCTCTCAAATAAATCTTTAAAAAAATAAAAATAAAAAGAATCAATAGGCTGGAGGAGATAATTAGAAGGATCATTGGCCAGGAGGCAGCTGAGGGAGCCATGAGAACAAATGAGCTGAGGAAAGAAAAGCACATGAAGCCTCAAGGGAGTCCTGAGTTAGAAAGGAGGTGGAGGAGGAAGAGGACTTGAAGGGTGACTCACATAAGAAATGTCACCTTAGCTGCCCCTAAAAGCCCGTGAGTCCTGGATTCTGTCTCTCAGAAAAGTACTGAAGTACTCTTTATGGCAAGCATGATGTCAACATCTGAAGGCTGATGTTTTTCAAGCATTCCCTACTCTGCCCATTTGGTGCTACTTAACACTTACTCCACAAATAAATGTATTGTTTCCCATGTGCCAGATGCCATTCTAGGCACTGGGGATAGAGCAATAAACAAAATGGACCAAACTCTCTCATGGTGCTTATATTCTGGTATGAAGCCAATAATCCAGATAAAAAAGCAAAACATAGAGAATGGGAAGTAATGATAGGTACCAAGGAATAAAATAAGGCTGAGAAGGAGAGAAGAGAGTGCTGGGACTATCCAGAGTGGTGTTGCAATCTTAGAAAGAGTGGCCAAGGAAGGCTCATAAAGAGGATGACATGTAAGTGAACATCTGAAGGTGGTGAAGAACATTCCAGGAAAAGGGAACAGTAAGAAGGCAGGCCCTGACCTGAAGCATGCTTGGAGTGTTCAAGAAGCAGCAGGGAACCAGTGTGGCTAGACTGTGGTAATTGAGGAGAGTAGAGAAAATGAGGTCAGAGAGGAGGGAGCAGAGAGGCAGGCGAGGAGCAGAGGGACACCATGTAGGGCCTTTAGGCTATTGTAAGGACTTTCCCTTTTATTATGCCTGAGAAGGCATGGAAGAGACTGGCAATTTACCAGACTGTTTCCTCTTTCCTCTATGGACACAGCTAGACTACAGTATGGACGGGTAACTGAGCTCTGGCCAAAGGAAAAGTAGCAGAAATGATGTCTACCGCTTCTAGTGCTTGCCTTACCAACCTGTCATGGGCCATTCTCCAAGCTCTCTCTCTTTCTCTGGCAACCCTAGAAGCCATGTAGTGCAGATGGCATATCACAAGATGGAAGGAGCCCAGGTGCTTGTTAAAAAAAACTCTCACTGAACAGGAACACCTTTTTTGGACTTTTTCTGAGTGAGAAATGAATTTCTACTGGTTATTTTATGCCACTGATATATTGGGATTTATCTCTTTCAGAGCTAGCATTACCTTAACTAATACAGATGGGAAGATATTGGAGGGTTTTGAGTGGAAAAGTGACATAATCTAAGATTTTTAAAGGGTTACATGTGACCGAAGAGGGTGAGATTAGAAAAAAGCCACCCGTTTAGGAGGTTTTGCAACAATCCAAGTGATGACAATGATGATGATGGCTTGGTCCAGGGCGGTAGCAGTGGAAATAGTGAGATGTGTTGGATCCTGCATATATTTTGAAAATAGTTTAAAAGGATTTCCTGATGGGTTGGAGATGGGGTGGAGAGAAAGAAAGGAGTCAAGGATGACTCCAAAGTTTTGAGAAAGTAGAAAAATGGAGCTGCCATTGACTAGGATACAGAAGACCTTGGGAGGGGCAAGTCTTGAGGGATAATATTGAAAGGTTAGTTTTGGACATGTTGAGACGCCTATTAGATATTCAAATAGAAATGTCAAGTAGGCAGTTGGATAGGTGTCTGTGGAGTTCACAGTGTTCTGGACTAGAGATATAAATTTGGGAGTAATTGGTTTATGTGTGATATGCAGCCATGAGTTTTGATTTGGAGATGGTAGAGGGTATTGATGAGAATGAATCAGCAAAGGAAACTGAGAAGAAAAGTCAGTGAAGGAGGAAAGCCAGGAGAGCATAGTGTTCTAGAAGCCAAGTGAAGAAAGCATTTCAAGGACAAAGGAGTAGTTACTTATGTCCCACGCTGGTAACAGAGAGGACTGATTAGCCATTGGCTTTAGCAACATGGGGATCAGGTTTGGTGGGGTAGTGGGTGCCAAAACCCACCAGAGGGGTTCAGGAGAGAATAGGAAGCAAGACATTGGAAACCCTTTCAAGGAGTTTTCTTTAAAGGGGTGGAGAAAACTGGAACAGTGCGGCAGCAGGGCCAAGGGAGGTTTTGTTTTATTTTCTTCTATTTTTAAATGGAAGAAATAACAATATGTTTAGGAAAAATATCAGTTTGTTGCTGATGGGAAGGATCTAGGACTGAGGATAAAATTGATGTAGGAAAAAGGGAGACTCGCTGGAGCAATGTCCTTGAGTAGAAGAGATGGGATGGGATCTAGTACAAAAGGGGAAGAGTTGGACATTGCTTAGAACTGAGACAGTTCTTCCATAGTAACAAGGAGAGAAACTAGATCTATGGGTCTGGTTCCAGGTAAGTGGTGGACATGGTGGAGAGATCTTAGAGTTCTCTTTCAATTGCTATGATGTTCTCAGAGGAAAAGGAAGCTGGGTCATCAGGAGGCAATGGGGGTTTGAGGCGAGAGAAGGTGTGAAGTAGCCATTCAGCAGAGAGAACAGATGAGGGAAGCATAGTGTGATCTCCAGGCAACACTGAGGACCCTCCTGAGACTTGAGACTATGACTTTGAGGTAACACTGATTAGTATATCACATGGTTTTCTCCAGGCAAGTTTAGCAGCATGATGCAGGCATGGAGTTGGTGGAGAGTTGGACTTAGCCAAGTAAATAGAATCAAGTGGAAGAGACACAAAGGTGTTGAGGGTGCATGCAAGGGAATGGTAATAGTAATGATTGATCATGGAATCTAGGCTGAGGGGAAGGAAATGAGGATGTGAGGAGAGTGAGGGACAGTGAAAACCCAGAAGGAGCAACAGATTGTGGGATTAGCAGGCGGAAGGATTACTGGACTCAGGGAAAGACAGGCGGTGGTAGAGCTGGAGAGTGGAAGTAATGGGGTGGGGTACAGTTATTAACGACAAACTCTAGGATAAAATCGCAGGAGTTAGTGGCTGATGAGGGTAGTGGGCAGGATTACTGGGCTGCAGCAGCTCAAGGAACAGCGACCAGGGTATGGGAGGGGTCACCTAGGTGGATATTGAAATCACCAACAAAACTCATCCTTGCAAAGAGTGATGGTGATCCAGGAGCTTACTTTTTAGCCCTCCAACCCTTTCAATTACTCCAGGGAAAGAAAAGACCCTCGTAGGATATCTTAAATTAGAGCAAGACCTCTAAAAAAGCTTTCCAATTGGAAAGTTGGTTGAAATGCTCATAGTCTATTTTTTACTGAATGTGAAATATTGTGCATTTTAAACAAAGTGGCCGGTCCACGGGCCATGTGACAGATATTCCTTGGTGACTCCCTTGATCTATAATTTGCAAATCTCTGATTTTACTTTTACTTTGAGCCTAGAATCTCTGACTTACCTATGTTTTGAGGCTATACCTCCTTTCTGTGGAATCGCTGGTTTCACAAGCACTAACAAGGTATGGCAACATTTAAAGGGCGTATCATACACAAAGGAAATTGAGCCAGTGTCCACAGGACTGAGACAACAGCCAACTGAAGAAGCTGGACCACTGAGAAAGTCCCCCTCCCTCACACACCTTGTCCAAACACTGCCTCCTGCAGGAACCTTTCTGCAGCCTCAAACCCAAACCTTCATTTGAAATACCAGGGCCAGGCTAGCAAGTCCAAGTTAGGGAATGTGCTAAGGAAGAAGGCACAAAGCTTGAATCAAAAGAGGAACTAACAACAACAACAAAAAAAAACTGGGGGGAAAAATGAAACTTCAGGAGAGGCCCTTGGCTGGAATTAGTTTTTAGCCCCTCATAGTTATCCAGAATAATTGGCACAGAGAAGAAAACACATTTGTTTGGGTGTATGGCCTTACTTTCAAGTTTTAAATTAGATAAATAGAAGCTTCATGAGGCATCTCTCAGTGGTGTATTTCTTCTCTTTGTCCTTTTCAGCTTCTCATTCAGGTCCCTTCTGTTCTCTTACCACCTCTCTGTGAGATCTCCCTTCTTCTCTGACTTTCTCCCTCCACCTGCTCTTCACCGCCATTTTGTTCTCGTCCCCCTCTCCTCCGGTCCTGCTTCCCTTTCCTTCCTTCTCTCCATCTCTTGTCCGTGGCCCTTCTGAGAGCACATCTTCTTGTGCCTGCCCTGGTGGTGGTTAACGGAGGCAAGGTGTGATGGGTAGTGGCACGGACCCAGAGTTACATACTGGCATGATGCTGGAATGATGCTCTTACCCGGAGCCATGCTCCCAGGTGGTTCTCCAAGGAAAGGCTATGCTATCAGCGTGAGATGAGTCTAGTTTTTCCTTAGTTGTAGCTTTCTTCTCCCCTACATCCAGACAGAGTCCCTCAGAAAGCTGAATGCTGCAGAATGGCGTTGGCGAGGGCTGCATAGATTCTCCCCAGTGCGAAAAGGTGGTTCAAATAGAATTTCCTGTTAACGTAGGAGAGAAGAATGTCCAATAAGATACAGCTTGCCTAAAAAGCTCTTCTGTGGACACATAGATACTTAAGGTAATTTTTTAATTGTCAACTATTAATAACAGGTATCTTGTCAGAGTTAGTGGTTTATTAATATTATTTGACTTGAGAAAACACAACCCACTCCTACCTTCTTTAGGGATCTCTCTCTGGTCAGGCAGAGGCACATAGGAAGTACTTAATGCATATTTGCTAAATGAATATATGGATGGGTGGATGAGCCTGTGGCACATGGAAAGATAAGGGCTGGGCTCCAGAGAAGTATCATCCCCACCAGACCCTTTCTGGCCTAGTTCCTTCTCACTCTCTGCAGCATAAGACTGGGGCTCCCCAAGAGCTCTAGAAAGGAAAAGGGAGAGCCAGCTTCCCACTCCCTCAAAGGAAGAGTCCAGAGGGCTGAGGAGGCAGTCCCTCCCACACAGCAGGGAGGAAGCAGGTCTAGCCACAACAGTGTTGTCTGGGTCTCTATCCCTTCAGGGCCCCTGGCAAGAGGTCCTAGGAGCCTCTAGGGCCTCTGGAGCTGCCACATTTAGGGTTTCACTCAACCCAGTTGGAGGTAGAGAAGAACAGAGCAGGAACAAAGAGAATCAAGGTGGCTTTGGCTGGCACCCCCCATTCCCACTCACAGCCTCCTGGAATTACCCCCAGGCCCCTAGGACCTGAACTCAGGCCTGAGATGGAACTCCAGGGCTGTCCCATGAAGGTGATCAGATTATTCCCATCACAGTACCTATATGAGTGGGGCCAGGTGTGGCCCCGTGGAGGCTGCCAGGGTGCTGAGGAGTGAAAGGGGCTGTGGCCCAGAGGGGTTCTCTCTTTCCCACTCTCCATAAGTGAGCGAATCTCTCCAACTGAGGTCGCGGGTGCAAGGGATGCCGTCTTCACTGTGAGTATCTTTCTCTATGTCAGAAAGGGAATGCATTCGTTTGTAACTTTAATTCACAGAGCAGTCTCACAGGTTAGGGCCAACACTTGTGGGGTGCTTTCTATGAGCCAGGCACGGTTCCAAACAATCACATGCCTTAATGCTCTTTTAATTCTCACAAGGAGCCCGAGAGGTCAGCGCTGCTGTAGTCCCCATTTTACTAGGATTCTGAGTCCCAGCGAGGTTAAGTCACTTACCTGTGGTCACATAATGAGGAGTCAGAGCCAGAATTCAAAGCCAGGCAGTTAGGCAATAGAGCCCATGTTTTAACTATTATATCCTTTGAACAAGGCAGTGCCAGTAAAAGGAGGGAACTAACATGGCTTGGAGAGGATCACTGAGTGAATTTCCCGAAGAGATTCAGCTAGCTGAACTGGCAATGGCTGTGAACCCGATGGCCTTAAGCCAGAGCCTGTTCTTAGTCTACTTGGCTTCAGCTACTCAAAGGGTGGCTTGCAGCCCAACAGCTTTGGCATCACCTGGGAGCATGTTAGAAATGCACAATCTTGGGTCCATCCAGACCTACTGACTCAAAATCTGCATTTTAACAAGATCCCCAGGGGACTGCTTGCACATTATAGTTTGGGAAGCATTGCAGTAGGGCCACACTACCCACTGATGGGGGAGTTGAAAGGTTCAGCCACACAGGTAAGCCTTGGGACCCTGGTTTTTCCCAATGTAGCTCTTTCTTTTCATCCAGAAGTTCCCAGAGGCTGGGGTATAACTGTCCTTCCAAACTCAACAGGTACACTATCTGGACCAAAGAGGAAAAAGGGGTTCCTTCAGGTACAAGGAGAGGGAAGGGTCCTGAGAACATCCTAGGACAATTCACTGAAATCAGCCTCAAGACAGCTTGGGCGTGGTAGTTGTCAGGACACCACATACCTTGTGATTCTGAAATTCCGGCTGTTCTCTCAAGTCCTAGAAGTAAATGTGACTTATTCTCTCTGTCTTCTTCAACCATAATCTCACGGGGTATGTTCTGAGTGTGTATGTGATTGAATGTATGTGTGAAAACACTAATGCAGCATCATTGTATTATCAGTCACATGACATGAGAACGCATTCTCAGGCTTGGGAAAACGTGGGCCAGCGTCAGCTCTACTCACCATTTAGAACAGGGGCTGAATGACCTGGCAGCCTCCAGGCTGAATTTGGCCTGCAGATATGTTTTGTTTGCCCACTAAGTGTCAGCCTAGACTGTGTTTTAGTGTTTATGGGGCAGGGGGTAGGTCACATAAAAATCCAGATTTGCGGCTTTTGTTGAGAAATCAGAGTATCTGGCAACACCAGGCCTGTGTTCCAGCATAGTCACAATTGAAGGCTTCATGGAAACCTTCACTTTCTCATCACCACCATCCCCACCAGCTCCTACTGCCTCCTCAGTGCTGAAACCAAGTGTCAGCCTAGCTGGTGTTTAACTTACAATGGAGTTGAGAGAAAAGTCAACCATTTCTTACATGACACCTAGACTCTCTACCCATTCAGACCACCTGCAGATGTTTGGGTTGGAATCCCTGGTTTGGATGAAAGTCGAGAGCTTCTCTGGGATCTACACATTCCTCTAAATTCCTAAATATAACACGATATTCTGGTTGCCTCCTGAACCAATTTGGAGGAATAATTTATTAGTGGTGTGGCACACAGATATTTACTGAACTCCCATTGGGTTCCTAGCCCTGTGCTTGCCACTGCAGATAATTCAGAGGCATGAAAAGAATGAGTATTGGTTGAAGAAATAAGACTTAAGCCTAGGAAACAAGTAGGGAATAAGGTCAGAGAAGTTAGACCAAGGATAGATAGGTTTGAGGGGGGAGCATCAGGGGGAAGGGAGCAGATGGAATGAACAAGGCACAGGGAAGGGTAGCGAATACTAGACTCGGGCAGATCTGGGCTGGAGAAGATAAGGCACGGGGCGTCTGTCTGAGGGGGAGAAAGTGTTCGGATGAGATGGGGAAGAGAGGGAAGTTTCTGCAGGGTCACGCATGCCAAAATGAGTGGATTTGGGGTAAAGTAGAACCTGGCAATAAGTAAGGAACCGGTTGCTCTTTCCAGAATGTGTCATGCTCCTTCACCCAGACTCTGCCTCTTTTTAGAATGCCTTGCCTTCTCTGCTTCAGTCAGCCCCGCCTGCACTCATCGTCTAGGCCTCAGCTCAGACCCCGGGCCTTCCCAAACAGCCTTCTGGGGGGAGGGAGGGACCCCTGTCTCTACGCTCCTGAGGTACCCCAGGCATGAGTTCTGAATGTTGCCTAGAAAGAGAGGTTTTGGGATTTCAGAATCTACGTATCTGACTCCACCAAATTATAAACCCTTTCACAGGGGTACTGTGTCCTTCCTCATTGTGACTCCAAAGCCTTCGACAGTGTCGGGCACTTACCAAGTGCCCACCGCATGTTTTGGAATGAGTAAATGAATGAATAAACTAGAGAAGATTACTGTACAGGCCAGGCATGTGATGATAAGGTGGTTAGCGTAGAATCTGCAGGAGTAGAACTGAAGGAAAGAATATAAGAAACATTTCAAAGAAAGAAATCGGTAAGACTTGCTGCCAAATGGAGTATGGTGGCCAAAGAGCCTAGAGGAACTCAAACTAAGATAAGGAAGGACAACAGAGATCTGGGAAAGCTGGGATGGGGAGCTGGTGGGGGGACTTATTCCTACATCTGTGGAGCAGAAAGTTCTCTGAGACATGGGTGCCCTGTGCCTTCCATTACCTGAGCTGTCCCTTTTGGTCTGTGTCTTTTTGCTGCTCCTGGAACTCCAGCCATTTCAGGATCAAGGAAATGAAGGTCAGAAGGAAAAGAACAGAGCATGAAATTCTCATTTCAGATCTTATTTCCAGTTATATTTTTCTTCATGCAAAAGCTTTAGAGGCAGATATAAATATGAAAAAGGCCAGCTGTGGCGACACTGGGTGGGTGTGCCGCATAATAAAGTACCAGGAAAAAACCAGGGAAGGGGAAGGGGGGAGGGGGGCGGGGGGCGGGGGGGGGAGCTGAGCCCATGCTGCTGCTTTTGCTGAGGAAGAGTGGGTGCGACTCCATCTGTTTGGTCCTTTGTCTCAGCCTTTTATTTTATTTGCTGTAAGTTGCTTGTTGTTGCCAATGTGCAAAAACTGATATAATTGCAACCAGACTAGAACCTGCCTGAATGAGGAGAGAAACCATCACTCAGGGCTTCGTTCTGGGAAATTAAAGAGAAGAAACCCAATGTCTGTCCACAGCAATTACTGAGAGAACAGTGAAGCAAAAATTCATTTTGCCCTATTTCTCACAGCCCTCCGATCCATCTGGGACGTGACAGCCCAGATTAGGTCGCCCCAGCTTACCGGCTGGCCTCTTCACACCTAGGCTCCTCCCTTCAAATCCACTAAGGCTCCCACTTCACTAAGGTCTTAATTCATGCCCACGGCTTCCCAGGCCCTGGCTCGGCCCTGCCCACTTCTACTTCCATCCTCCCACCACCACCATTTCCCCACTGGCCTTCCCTCCCTTTTTCTAAACTCACCAAGTCTCTTCCTCAGGATGAAGCCTCATTTGATCCCTCAACCTCTACAGCTTTCTTCACCCTTCATCTGGTTAGAGCCTATTCTCCTTCTGGTCTTAGTCTCCTCTGACCTTCCAGAAATATTAAAAGCTGCCTGTGCCAGAGATTGCCAACAGGCCCCCAGTCTCCTTCTCTCCTTCCTTCTGGGGCAGAGCATCTAATTTTGTGAGAGGCACATGGCTGTGCACAATGATGAGTGCAATTTCCCAGCTCCCTTGTAGCTGGGGGTGGCCAGGTGACTGAATGGTGGCCATGAATATAAACAGAAGCTAGCCTTCAAACAGTAATAAAAAAAGAAAAATCCGTGATTTCAGATTTTGAGATGGTCAATAAGTTGCTTCAGTATATCTTGCTCTATTACAGTCCAGGGGTCTCCAGCCGGGTAATATTGACATCTTACCCAGAAATTACTTAACTATACTCTGTAGTTAAGTCTCTGATACGTATACAAAGTGACAACCTCCCGTGTAAATTCTTAGGCCATGGGCAACTAACAAGTCTTTTTCTTGTGTGAATACTTTTCTATTTCCAGCCCACACTGGAGTTAATAATATGAGTTAATATGTATTGAGGATTTCCTTACGTCTGCCTTCCTAAATCTGCTGAGGAGCATGCCAAGTACTGGTGTGTATGAGCTCATCTAATCTTACAAGATCTGGATGAGGTTGGCACTACCATCATTTCCATTTTGCAGATCTGAACACTTAGGGCCAGAAAAGTAAAGCAATGTGCCTGAAGGCTCACAGTCAGGCAGTGACTTGGGCCCAGGGCTGTGTGGGCTTGCCCCCTCCAACTCTGCTGGCTTACTACCAACACTGGGGAAAAGGCTTTCTTTCTTTTCTTTCTTTTCTCTTTCTTCCTTCCTTCCTTCCTTTCTTTCTTTTTCTTTCTTTCTTTCTTTTTCTTTCTTCCTTCCTTTCTTCTTTCTTCCTTTCTTTCCTTTTCTTTCTTTCTTTCTTTCTTCTTTCTTTCTTTTCTTTCTTTCTGTCTTCTTTCTTTCTTTCTTTCTTTCTTTCTTTCTTTCTTTCTTCTTCTTCTGTTTTTTTGGTTCTGTCTCTGCATTGCTGGTCCCTATTGTGACAAAAACCTTCTTCCTTCTAACACCTGGTTTTTCTCTTCTGGTGACATTTACTAACTTATTTCTGTCCTCCCTTTCCTTTTAAACCACAAATCAAGATTGCCAGGACCCCGATTCCCACATTACCTTTGCGCTCTGGTCATGGTGCCCTGTGGTCTAAGTGCTCTCAATGCCTTGTCAACCCTAAGGCACCTGCACATACAAGGACATTTCCTCAGGCATGGAGAAGAGAGGCCTGTACAATGGAGCTTTCCAGAATGGATTATACATTTAGAAAGCAACCGCAGAAGCTCCCTGAAGTCCAAGCAGAGGTCAGGTGAATGGGTAAATGAACTCAATGAGTAGACAATGTTTTAGTTATTTCTCCGTAAGAACTAGGAACAGGATTAGAAATTAGGTTTTCCTTTCCCACCTGTGCTATCTTATCCTTATTATTGAAGAGTTACTTCTTATTTTGTACAACATTCCTCTGGAGTCAAGCCCACCATGCTTGCTTTGTGGAGGAGACTAAGGCAAAGAGAACTGGTGAAAGATTACTCTGAGTCGAGGATAAAACCCGGATCCTGAGTGGTAGCAAGCATTTCATGCTCCTTCTTCTGCTCCTTTTCCAAGTGACTTGGTTTCTAGATCTTACAGCCCAGGCCATCTGGGCTGCAGCAGGGGCGTCAGGCTGGCCTGATTTAAGGCATGTACCTGAACTCATTGTGCTGGTGCAGGTCGGCAAAAATCTGAGAGAGCGCCTCACTCTCCCCGTTGGCCATCAGCTGCATGAGGCTCTCGCTGGGCTGGGAGGCTTGGGGTTTCTTCTCTACCGACTAGATGGAGGGAAAAAGGAAAGCCAGGTGGTTAAGGCCTTAGGGTCTCTGCATTTTCCTAATCACGGTCCAGACCTGAAAGTGTTGGAACTCGAGCTGTTCCTCTGGGCTGATGGGTCAGCTGCTCGGAGAGGCCATTCTGAGGCCATCTCTGATTATACCATCTGTATTGTTATAAATATCCTTTAGTGCCTTAAAGATAATACTGTCATTGAAAACTTTAGACATAATTTAGTAGATAATCTACTCTTATTAACGTACGTTCATACGTTCCTGAATAGCCTATTCCTATAAACTTTAATAAAGCTTCTGCTACTTGGTTTTATATTTCAGGGTAGGGGGATCAAATATCTGTTGTAGGAATTTAATAGATGCTTAAAAAATTAATTTCTCTGGGCGCCTGGGTGGGTCAGTCGGTTAAGCGTCTACCTTCAGCTCAGGTCATGATCCCGGGATCCTGGGATCAAGCCCCATTTCGGGCTCTCTCCTCCGCGGGGAGTCGGCTCCCTCTCCCTCTGCCCCTTATGCTGGAGCTCTCTCTCTCTCTCAAATAAGTAAATAATATCTTAGAAAAAATTAATCGCTTCTCGGCCTTTTGGCTAAGATCAAGTGTAATATCTTAGAAAAAATTAATCTCTCTAAGAAAAATCCTATGTTGAGCTGCTGTTCACACTTGGGTAGAATTGCTTTCTTTCCTGTTGCCTGTGATACCCCCACAGGTACTCCAGCCGTGCATGCTGCTCATAGTCATTCATTCATTCATTCATTCTTTATTGAATGTCAGCTATGTACCAGGCACTAGGGATATAACAGCTCAGAAGATGGGGAACCCGTTGCCTCCATGGAGTTTACGTTGCAGCTCAGATTGGTCTGATGCCACACCTTAAGGCCTACGGCAAAAATGCCCAGGTGAATTCTATCAAATATTTAATGGTCATACCAATTCTTCAAAAACTCAGAAAACAGAGGAGGAAAGAACACTTCCCAAATCAGTCAATGAGGCTAGTACTACTCCAAGACCAAAGCCAGGGTATCACAAAGATTTCTGAAGAAAACTACAGACCAATATCGCTAATGAACATAGATGCAAAAATCTTTAACAAAATACTAACAAACTGAATCCAGGAACATATAGAAAGGATTATATATACCATGACCAGGTGGAATTTTTATTGCAGAAACACAAGGTTGGTGAGGATATGGAGAAACTGAAACCCTCATGCATTGCTGATGGGAAGGTAAAATGGTACAGCCACTTTGGAAGATAGTTTGTCAGTTTCTTTAAAAGTTAAATCTAGGGGCGCCTGGGTGGTTCAGTTGGTTAAGCACCTGCCTTCGGCTCAGGTCATGATCCCGGGGTCCTGGGATCGAGCCCCGTGTTGGGCTCCCTGCTCAGCAGAGAGCCTGCTTCTCCCTCTCCCTCTGCCTGCCGCTCCCCCTGCTTGTGTGCTCTCTCTCTCTGTCAAATAAATAAATAAAACCTTTAAAAAATTTTTAAAAAATCAAAGTTAAATCGAAACTTATTCTACGACCCAGCTATTACGTTCCTTGGAATCTACCCAAGACAAATGAAACATACATCTATGCAAAAACTTGTGCACAAATGTTCATATCAGCATTATTCATGATAGTCAAAAACTGGAGACAATCCAAATGTCCAACTGGTGAATGGACAAACAAAATGTGGTATATCTATACGATGGAATGCTATTCAGCAATGAAAAGGAATACGGATAGTCTGTGACTCTGCCACAGAGTTGGCCTCATGCTACAATATAGATGAGCCTGAAAAACATCATGCTAAGGGAAAGAAGCCAGGCATAAAGACTTTATGTTGTAGGATTTCATTTATATGAAATGTCTAAGAAATATGAATTTATAGAGACTGAACACAGATCAAAGGATGCCTAAGGCAGGAAATAGGGACATTTGAATGACTGCAACTGGGCACAAGGGAATTTTTAGGGTGATGGAAGTTTTCTAAAACTGGATGGTAGTAATGGTTGCCCAACTCTATAGAGTTACGGAGAATCTTGAGCTGTACGCTTGACAGGGCTGGGTTTTATGGTTGTAAATTATACCTCAATAAAGCTGATGAGCAAAGGCCTAAGGCAGGGATCACCTTCACAGGGTGCTCACATACCAGCGCACCTAAACTCCACAGTTCAGCTCTGGCCTTTGCTGGAGGTGGCAATGGCGCCCACTTACGTTAGAGTCTCCCGAGGGGCTGCAGCTGTTCTTGGGTACCAGACAGTGAGTGACAAGAATCCTAGGGTCCTTGGTGGTGATGGACAGGCCCTTATGCAGAATTTGAACCAGTCGGATCCAGAAGTGGAAGACAGTCTCAGGATGGTCAGGGTGGAGCCTTAGGTAGTAGATCTTCTCGGTGACTGTCCTCAAACGCAGGATGCGTTGAAGCCGGTCACAGACCTGGAACTCCACAAACTTCAATGGGAGGATCCTGAAGCCACAAGGGAAGAGACACCATGGCAACCCTATGGCTTCTGATCCAACCCTGACTTCGTTAAAATGAGAAGTGTCTCCTACAGGACTGAGGTTTTTGGGGGTAGGAGAGAGAATGTTTAGCACCGTGGTGCTCAAACTTTGGGGAGACCAGATTTACCTGGGGCGCTTGTTTAAAATGCAGACACCTGAAGATATCCCCTACAACTCAGATTCAGTAGGTCTGGGGTGTTGCCCTGAAATCTGCCATGATTCTCATGCGGGTGTTCCCTGGATCCTGCTTGAGAGAGATAGCCCTGGAATAAGGAGGCTGGGGTCATAGGGGTTTTCAGTTTCCTTCTTGACAGTATAAAGGGAACTGCCCTTCTCTGCCACAGAGTGGCATTGCCAGCCTGTCTGTTCATTGACCCCAATGCTTTCACTACTCTTCCCAAAGGGGCTAGAGTTCAAGGAACTGGACTGTACTTTCTATAGGTACACCCAGAACATAAAGGTGAGGTGGACATAAAGCAGCTGACATGGAGAAATGAAGGGTTTGCCTGGACTTCTGGGAATCTCTAGAGATTCTTGAGATATCGTACAGATTACTTGAAGCGATTCAAACATCAGAAAGGGCTGGTTCATCCCAGAAGAGTCTGAGGTCCCTGTATGTTACAGTTCTAAGTGAGAATTAGTTCCGCTCATTTTACCAGCAGGAAAACTGAGATGAGGCAAATAGCTAGAGACTCAAAACTTATTTGAGTCATTTGGATACCAAAGACTAGAGTCTGTGTCTCCCAATCAGTGCTCCATTGGCTGGACCTCACTGCTTCCTTGCCCCTCAGCCCGAGGCAGGGAGATTTGCTATGGATTCAGTGGGGGTGAGAGCAACAGGAAGGAACGAAGTCATGTTGACTGGCTTCTCATTGCTGACCACATAACACTTCCCTTTGCCCCCCTCCCCCAAGCTTGGCCTAATGCTTCCAGTGCACCCTCTGTCTCGGGCTACTGTTGTCTACAATAATCATGTCACTGCCAGTGACTTCTCTGTTTCTCCCTACTTTGAGTTGAGTCACAAAGCAGCCTCTACTTTGGGTCCACCCCTCACCCTACTTGTCCTCTGTTCCCATCTGTATTGCTTACCTCTTCAGCTTGATGTTTGGGGCCATAGATGGTCTGTTCCATGTCTGGCTCTGTCCCTGGTGCCATTTGACATTAGCCATGAGGAGGATATTGGGAAGGGGCAGGCAGGGCACAGAGGAGGTTACCCCAAGGGCCATGGTGTTGGAGGCCTTGTAGATGTCTATCCAGTTCCTGCCCTTTCTGACCTGCAAAGCAGCCCCATGGGCACAGCCTGAGCATTTGGCAGAAGCAGCAGTGTATTCTAGCTGAGGGGTCTCTCACCCTCAGCCCTATTCATATTTGGGGCTGGCTAATTCTTTGTTTGGGGGAGGGAGGGTTCTGCAGGATGGTTAGTAGCAGCCTCCGTCTCTAGGCCACTAGACGCTAGTAGCAATCCCTTCCCCCCGCCCAAGTTGGGACCATCGAAAATATCTCCAGAGGTTGCCAAATGCCCCCTGGCAGTAGCGGGCGGAATCAATGCTTGTTGAGAACCACCGTTTAAACCTATATTGGTGGGGCGCCTGGGTGGCTCAGTCGTTAAGCGTCTGCCTTCAGCTTAGGTCATGATCCCAGGGTCCTGGGATCAAGCCCCGCATCGAGCCCCTCATCAAGCCCCTCATCGAGCCCCGCATCGGGCTCATTGCTCTGCGGGAAGCCTGCTTCTCCCTCTTCCATTCCCCCTGCTTGTGTTCCTGCTCTCACTGTCTCTCTCTGTCAAAAATAAATAAATAAATAAATAAATAAATAAATAAATAAATAAATAAATAAAATCTTTAAACCTATGTTGGTTAAGCAACTGTAAGAGAGTATTTACACTACCTCCTATCAACAGTCGCCCACAAGAACCATAGCCCAGGAGTTCCCAGACCTGTGTCATATTTCTGTGACTCTTCCCCACAGTTTCCTGGCTTTTCTTTGAAAAATTTGTCCTTAGGCCATTCTTTGAGGGGCCCTATTATCTCCTGCACTTTCCCTGAACTATGAGGTCCTTTGCAGCTCCCAAGCTGTTTATTCTGGGTTCTACCTGGCCTGAGGAAAGGAAGGGCAGGCAAGGAAACAAAAATGCACAGAGGGGCCCCAGGGTGGCGCAGTTGGTTAAGCAGCTGACTCTTCATTTCGGCTGAGGTCACGATCTTGGGGTCCTGGGATGGGCCCCCAACCCCCCAGTCGTGGGATCTGTGCTCAGCCGGGAGTCTGCTTGAGATTCTTGCTCTCTCCCTCTCCCTCTGCCCTCCCTCTGCGCAGTGCACTCACATGCACTCTCTCTCTCAAATAAATAAATGTCTTTTTTTAAAAAATGCCCTGAGTGCCCGTTGTACTTGGGCCTTTGCTTCCTGTGTTTGCATGGAACAACCAGGTTGGTCCAACCCCTTTTATAATAGAGGAAACTGGGATTCGGGGCACGCAGGTCACTTGCACAGTGACACCTCAAGAAAGCAGAGACTCTGAGCCCTGGTCCCTCTCGGGGGCCCAGCTCCTGTTCTTTCACCAATCAGCATTTCTGTTACAAACCCTCCAAGGGCAGCTCATTTCACTGCCTCTTTGTTCACCTCTTTGGGCTGACAGCCTGGAGAAGGAAGCACATGGAGGGATTCGGATACCAAGTCCTCTACTCAGAGCAGAGAACTCCTGTCCTCTGTCCCCACGATGACAAGTGTCTGCAGAAGAAGCCCTGTCTGGGGCTCTGCAAGGTCAGGGTCAGATGCATTCCAGGCCCACTGACTTCTCCTTGCCCCAGTTCTCACTCCACTCCAGTCCCTGGGACAGACTCTCCCGGTCACATCTTGGGAACAGGTTGAGAAGAATCAAGGAGTGCCATTCTGAGCGACCCAAGAGTACCTGGACAAAGTTGCTTTCAAACACCACTGAGTCAGGAAATAGGTTGAATTCTGGAGAATGAAGCATCTGGCAGAGCAGTCCCTCCTCCACACCCAGGCCCACTCCAGGGTTTGGCTCCCCATCCACAGGCAAGAGGCCCCTGACTTCTTCCCAGGCATTCAGGGAAGGGAAGGTTGGAAAAGATCTTGTGACTTTTACTGTCTTCTTTGATTTCCACCGAGTCTTTCTCTGTGGAACTGATGACAACATTTCCGCACATGCTCAGGGGCCTGCTGCAAGTTTGCCCTGGTATCTCTCTCTTCCCTCCTGGCCCTGGGCAGCTAGCCAAGGCCTGGGACCGCCAATCAGCTCACAATGATGAATGGATGACATCATGAAAAAACCAGGGCAGGCCCGCAGGAAAGGGAAATGCAGAGGAGCCTCCCTTTGCCTCCAGAGGGATTGTTTCTGCCCTGATATTCCCCAGCCCCTGTCCGGAACCCGGGGACATAGGGCCCCCAGAGCTTGCTGGGAAAGGGGTTGAGCCAGGCAGGAAGCAAGGAAGGAAGGCTGCTGGGAGGCTATTTTCTTCCCTGCCTTTCAACCCTCCCTTACTCTTAATGCAATCTACCCCAAGCGGTTTTAAGTGCTGTTGTCTATTTAAAACCCAGCCTTTCCGAGCTGTGCACGAGGCGGGAACACACATACCCTGGTTTATCCGCAGGAGCCTTTTCCGTTTTGGAAGGAATTGCTGGGCCCTGCTCCATGCTCTGCTACACCTGGGTGGTTACTTCTGCAGGCCTATTTCCCTTAGGAGGTCAAACTGAAGAAGGAGTCCAGGTAATTAGTTTTTTAGCCAGAGGCTGGCTCTGTGAGGGTGCCCAGCTGAGAAGACTAGAACTGCGACAGGGCAGTTCTGCTAGATCAACAAGACGTTCCCCCTCTCAGAGAGTGACAGCATGCTCATCCTGGAGTCAGAAGAAGCAAGAGCCCAAATCCTGCAGTGGCTAGGTCAAGGGCAAAGAAGGAAGCAGGCTGACCGCTGTTCAAGGCCACTTAGGGGAGAAATTGTATTCTGATTTGGACAAAATCCCGGAATTTACTAAACGATGTATTATCTATCAAAATCAAAGGTGATCAATTCAGAAAAGCAATTGGACAACCAGTGTATGCGATGTACAAGCATGAAGATTTATTTTTCTATTTCATTAGCAAGTCAGAGAGGCAGCTGAAAGATCACAAGGCCCTGCTGATCTGATTCCATCCGCCCCTCACCTGGCCGCTTCTAGTTCGCCCGGTTCAAGCACCGGAAACCACTCCGTGGTTGGTAAAGCAACTGCGGCATTCCTGTTCCTTGTTCTCTTTTGTTTATCACATGGGACAAATGTCCTCCATGGAATAGTCTCTAAGGAGGGGGTCAAGAGACCCCGTCCTGAGATTTCCATTTCTCTGGAAGCAACACACAGTCCAAATGTGATGGCAGCTAACACGCTGGTATAAGTTAAAGCTTACCCACCACAGTCAAGCTCTTTGGTCTAGATATGTGGTTTGGATGTATTTGGCCATTGAGACATCCAAAAGTCCCCTTCGGTGGGAAGATGATGTTTCCTGTTTTCTGTACAAGCCTGTTTAGCCCACTTCTGTGGGACTGAAAGAGGCTTTAGCTCCCAGTCTAGAAAGTTAATTGTGAGGAAATGAGCTTTTGGCTCTAAACAAAATCCTAAGCAATAATCAAATGTCTTTTCCTACTTGCCCCCATCAAACCTCAAAAACTAGCACACTGAATCTTTTTAAAAAAACTATTTGACAGATGCTTAGCTGCCTTTCTCAATATCCATTCTCTCCATTTCTTTATTAATGATGGAATGTCTGATCCTTAGTTGGGCACAAGTTTCTGGAATAAAAATTACATTTCCTGGCCTCCCTTATGGCTAGGTAAGGCCATGTGACTATGTTGTGGCCACAGAGATGTAAGCCCACCGTGCATCTGTGGTGAGGAAACATTATAGGAAGGGGCATACTTTTTTCACTCCTTATTTTTTCCCTTCTGGCTGGAATAGAGACTTGACAGTTGGAGCTTGAGCAGCCCCTTTGGGCCATGAAGTGGCATTCTACTGACAGTAGCATGGCAAGATAAAAGGGCTGCAGTTCCTTGATGATCCTAAAACTGCCATACTAGTCCTGCCTGGACTGTGTGTGCCTCCAGACTTCCTTTATGTATCAGAGAAATAAATTTGGGTTTTCTGTTATATTGAGTCAGGCTTAAAACTTGCTGATACAAGGCTCCTGGGTGGCTCAGTAAGTTAAGCATCTACCTTCGGCTCAGGTCATGATCCCAGGATCCTGGGTTGAAGCCCCACATGGGGCTCCCGGCCCAGTGGGGAGTCTGCTTCTCTTGCCCCTCTGCCCCCCTCTCTCTCCCCACCATAGTGATCTTGTCTCTTTGACAATGTTGGTAGCACTTTGGTTTGAGGCTAAAATCACTTACTAGTGTCAAATATCCTTTCAAAGCTTGCTCAGGAGTGACCAGGATATCTGATTGTCAGTTGGGGCTGGACCAGGGTGCTGTGGCGCTTAAAGATTACACAATTTTGGAGACACTTAAAAATAAAAATACTGGATGGATGGGGCAATAGGGAGTTTTAGTTCAGGAAGATGACAAAGTTCTGGAGGTGGGGGGTGGTGATGGGTGCACAACAGTACGAATGTACATCATTCCACTGAACTGTCTGCTTGAAATGGTATATTTATGTCTATTTTACTACAGTAAAACATTTCTAAAGCATAACAAATAAAAAATCCCCACAAAAATATGATACAAAACTGCCAGAAGCCCTCCTAGGGCCTTGGAAGTTTCCATGTGAACAAAGGGCCCTAAAGCATAAGCTTTATTATCTTCATGGCAAATCTGTCCCATTTAAATCTGTGTCACTATTAAAAAAAAAAAAACTGTTACATAAGCAGTACATGTGCTTGTAGAACATCAGAAAATAGAGACAAGATTAAAAAACAAACAGCATATTCTTACCTCCCAGAGAACATCACTGCAACAGCCGTGTGTGTGTGTATGTGTGTGTGAGAGAGAGTGAGTGAGAGAGAGACAGAGATTATGGTCTAAAAATTGTTTTTAACTTTTTTATAACCTGTATTATTTAGCCAACACTTTCTACCTTTGTATTTTGGTATACTTTTGTCTCATCTTACCTAATTTCTAGGCCATATTAAAATTTCTCCAGTTAACTCCAATTATTCTTACAACTGATTTATCCAAGTCGGTATTCAATCCAGGACTACACAACCCCCTTAAGTTTATTTTAATCTAGTACAGTCCTTTTTTAGGACACTTACTAGTGGAAGCAATTGAGGTAGTTGTCCTACAGAATATCTCACCTTCCGGATCTGTCTGGTTACTTCCTTGTGGTGTTTAGTTTGCTTGTCTAGCTACTGTTTTTCCTGTGAAATAGAATTTCTATCTGAAGAGCTGATGGAGGGACACCTGGGTGGATCATCTGGTTAAGCATCTGCCTTCGACTCAGGTCATGATCCCAGGGTCCTGGAATCAAGTCCCACATCAGGCTCCTTGCTTGGTGGGGAGCCTGCTTCTCCCTCTGCTTGCCACTCCCCCTGCTTGTGCTCTCTCTGACAAATAAATAAAATCTTAAAAAAAAATAAAGGGCTGATGGATTCAGGTATTTTTTTTTTATTAAAATAGTCACTATTTCTTAGTAAAGAGCTACCATGGGATCTATGTAAGATATTACCCTTCTCTCCCAAAGAACGTCCATAGGAAAATACATGGAAAGAATATATATCTGAAGAAAAATGATTCCAGGAAATAGAATAAAGTCCTTGACAAGAATCCTCTCTGTACTCTCAGGGGACCTTGTAGTTCTCGTGAAACAAGCAAGCAAACAAAACAAAATCAGAGGTACCAAAATAAGATGAAAAGGGGACCTGATGAGGTAAGGGGAAAAAAAAGAAGAAAAACCCACTCAGTATCTGACAGTCACATTAGAAGCCACAAGGTGACATGACAGCAAACCGAGTCAGTGACATGGTTAGCAGGTCAGAGACTATCACACAAAGTACAAAATAAAGAAGGGCAAGAGACAAAGAGAATGGAAAGAAAATGATAGCTATGGGAGACATTTATGTTGACCCAACATACAGCTAGAGTTCCTGATGAAGAGGGAACAAATGGAACTGAAAAAGTAGTTAAACACATAAAAGAAAAAGCCATTTCTGAAGACCCAATCTGGCACACAAACAGATTTACTCTAGTCCAGGTAAACTGAGTAAAGAAACCATTGAGACCAGGATCGCTCTTGTGAAGTTCCTAAATCTTAGGCACAACAAAAGCATCCTACTACAAATATCCAGGTAGAAGAAGCAGACAATCTACCAAAGGAATAAAATGAGACTTTTTTCAGACTTCGGCAACTTTAGATGGGCATGAGACAATGGAATGATGTGAAGGAATGTTGAGGAGAAAGGATATGACCCAATAATTCCACAAATGGGATTTACATTGAATGACATCCATTCAAGTGTAAAGGAAGCCAAAACAATCTTAAAATACTAAGCACACTGGGATAAATAAATCCATAAGCTGGTTCTTGGGAAAAACATTAGACTACTAGCTAACAGTTTAATTTTTTATAAAAGGAAGACACAGAACATACGATTTGAAGTAAGAAAACACAAATAAGTGCAAATAACTTCAGGCTCCTAGGTAAAGGTAATGGCATGAGGCTTATATGAATTACTTATAGTGTAGGTAGTCAAAAAACCTCAAAATATAGTGACTTAAAATAGAATTTTGATTTGCTCTTACACAGTAGTCCAAAGATAGGCAGTCCTGAGCTGGTGGGGTATCTCTGCCATTGTCAATATGGCACTATCTGTCTCTGGGTTAAAGGTGGCTGCTGCAGCTCCTGCCATCACATTTGCATACTGGCCAGTGAGAAGGGGAAGGGGGGAGAGGAGGGCACACTCATTCCTTTTAAGGGCATGACCTAGAAATGGCATAATCACTTTTGCTCACATCCCATTGGCTGGAATTCAGTCACATGGCCACACCCAGGTGCAAGGGAAGCTGGGAAATGTAGCTTTTAGCTGGATGGCCACGAGCCCACCTAGAATTGGGGGGTTCTGTTATTTATTAATTAAGGATGAAGGCTATCAGTATACAATCAGCAGCCGCTGCAAAGAAGCCAGGTCACAGAATTACTCCCTCTGACATCCAGTAAATACATTAATAGTTTTTTTAATGCCCCAGATCTAACTAGTAGCAACCTAACAAGAGGTTAAGTCATGGCCAA